TTGCAAATGTTGTGAAAGCAGTAGTAAATTGTGTTTCAGTTGACAATGTTGAGCAGCTTCTTATACAACATTTTAATCAAGATTTCCCTGAGCACAGTAGTAAGGAGAAGCTGGAAATGTCAGAAGAGGACAGACAGTTCATGGAGTCTGTGACGAACACAGTTTACCATGCTGATAATCACTATCACATTGGATTACCAAAAAAGGAGGCTTCTATCACATTGCCAGACAACAAGGGTGTTGCAGTTCAATGAGCTCTCACTCTTAAAAGGAAATTTCTAAAAAATCCTACGTTCCATCAGGAATACACTGCTTTCATGCAGGAAATGATGTATAAAGGTTATGCAGATAAGGTAACCGAAGAAGAGCTTATGCAAAAGAAATGAAAGTATGGTACTGTATAATACCACATCATGGGGTATACCATCCTCAAAAGAAAAAGTTAAGGGTGGTCTTCGACTGTGCAGCCAGTTTTCAAGGAGTTACATTGAACACAGAACTGTTACAGGGTCCTGATCTTGCCAATTCCCTGGTAGGAGTTTTGATGAGATTTAGACAAGAGCCTGTAGCTTTTATGGCAGACATTAAAGCCATGTATTACCAGGTGAAAGTCCCTCAGGAAGACACTGACTTTTTACACTTTTTATGGTGGCCCAGTGGAGAAACAAAACACAACCTGGAAGAATACAAAATGATTGTGCATTTGTTTGGGGCTATGTCATCCCCCAGCTGTGCAAATTTTGCATTAAGAAACACAGCAGAAGACAACAGGAGCAACTCGTTGCCACAAACAGTGAGTACTGTCCTCAACAGCTTCTACATAGATGACTGTCTAAAGTCTGTTGGCAGCGTAAATGAAGCTACTGAGTTGCATGCAGACCTCAAAGCTTTATGTGCTTCAGGAGGATTCAACTTAATGAAGTGGACAAGTAACAGACGAGAAGTATTAGCAGCCATACCAGAAAACGACAGAGCCAAAGAAGTAAGAGTCGTGGACTTGTCACATGATGCTCTTCCAATAGAAAGAGCACTTGGAGTATTATGGTGCATTGAGTCTGACACATTTCGGTTCAGGATTCAAGTAAAAGAAAAACCCTTCACTAGATGAGGAATCCTGTCAACAGTGTATGATCATTTGGGGTTCTTGGCACCATTCATTCTTTCAGCCAAAATACTGATGCAGCAGCTGATCAAAGAAAAGCTTGGTTGGGATGAAATAATCCCAGAAAATTATGCTCAACGATGGTGTGAATGGTTAAAAGATTTAAATCAACTATCTGACTTTGCTGCAACCAGATGCATAAAGCCTGAGAAATTTGGCAAAATTTCCACAGCAAAGCTCCATCACTTTTCAGATGCAAGCGAGAGCGGATATGGGACCGTGTCTTATATTGACCTGCAGAAAAGATGGCTCCGGTGTGCATGGCTGCTCGTCTGCTGCTCGTATGTTGGTGGTTATTTGTCTTACTTTTAGCTCTTGGTACTCGACAAACTGAGTCTCTACTGGTTTATGATCGCCAAACTCTTTTGGATATTCAATTTAAAGTCAGTGATGTCTGTATATGGAATGGTGATGGGCGCAAGACTGTTCCGCCGGTTCTGTTGGGGATTCCGGCTCATTTCTTCCGGGTCTTGGCAGTAGCCCTCTGGCGAAGACATTCCCGTCGTCGGGGCAGGCGCAGTGGACAGCTAGTGAGGCTGAAAGCCTGCCTGAGACACTCCTTTCCTTCTTCTTGGACGGGCTGGGGACATTATCCCTCATTTGTGGTGCCCAGGCATTTGCTGGATCCTATGCATGCTTGCCTTGTGCCAGTCGTGGGGATGAAGAAGGGTCTTGGCACGCTAGGCCGTGTTTTTCTCGGCTTCGGCGGCGCGTGGTGGATAATGATGCTTTGAAGACACTTCGCTTCGTTCCACGGCCTGTAGTAGTGCAGGCCGTGGACCTGGTGAGGATCGGCCTGGTGAATGCTCGGTCGCTGAAGAAAAAGACTTTTATTGTGAGGGACTTCTTTAGTTCCTGGGATTTGGATTTTTTATTTTTAATAGAGATATGGATCGACGCTGGGGGTTTTAGTGCTTTTACTGAACTCCTGCCGGCGGGGTGCTCTTATTTTTGTTCATCGAGGTCGTCTGGCCGGGGAGGTGGAACAGTGGTGGTTTTTAAGGAAAAGTTTATAAGGAGGCAGTGTACATTATCACTATCGTTTTCGTCCAGTTTTGAGGTGACTTTAGTTGAGGTAGGTCATTTTAACCCGGTATTGTGTGCAATTATTTATAGGCCACCTAAATATAAATAAGGATTTTATTGAGTACTTCACTAATTTTTTGGCTGGGGTCATGCCTTATTATGATCATGTTCTTTTATTGGGTGATTTCAATATTCATGTGTGTAGTCTGGAGAAACCTCTAGTGAGAGAATTTTTAACTACGGTTGCTGCTTTTGACTTGGTGCAACATGTGTCTGGACCGACACATGAACATGGACACGCTGGATCTCATTCTGTCTTATAGTGTGCCTGTGTCAAATGTAGAAATATGTATGAATACCTTCTCTGATCATATGGCCCTGGTATTTCAAGCTGGTATCTCCAGGGTAGGGAGATACCAGTTTTTTCCCTGACTGTATTAGTATCTGATATCACAGCAACAACTGCATGTCCTTTGGTTGTGTAAAGCTGCTAGTGAGTTTTTGCAGGGAAAGAATGAACGGGTTGGAGAGGTGTGTGAGAGAGAACACACACACACACACAACCCAATAAGTGCACTCACAGGATATTCAGCATGTTACTCTTTGTATCACAATTAAAGTATCACACAGTATACCGAACACACTGGACCCTCTGCAGTATGCCTACCGGCCCAACAGGGCCACCTCAGACGCCATCGTGGCTGCCCTCCACTATTCCCTTTCTCATCTGGAAAATGGAGACTCCTACATCAGGATACTCTTCATTGACTACAGCGCCACCTTCAACACAGTTGTCCCCCACAAACTCACCCACAAACTGTCCACACTGGGTCTGCACCCCACCCTCTTTGACTGGCTCCTGGACTTTCTGACTGGCAGGCCCCAAAATTTGTTCATGATTCTTTTGCAGAAACAACTAAATTTCATTTCATTAAGATGAATGACTTTAGTCATACTGCAGCACAGAGCTGAACACTAGCTTCAGATCCTGCTCTGAGTCACCAATTAAATGCTAATGATCATTTCCAGCATCTTATTGGAGACAAAATGTAAACACATTATGATAGGACTGGGTAATAAAACAATCTCAATAACTATGAAAAACAGTACAGGTACATAGCTAACTCCACTGGACACCGGTAATGGAAAACCTATAGATTTGAACAAATAAAATATTTACTGCTGTTTAGTGTTTTCAGCATCTCTTCAGCTTTTCCGGGCCCTGAACATAAACATTTCCATCTCACGACCTTTGCTATGTTATCTAAGCAGATTATCACATCTATGTTAATGTCTGCCTCAGTACAGTCACAGTATATTCACAGGAAGTCCTTCATTACAGCAATGATGGAGCCTGAGTCACTGTTGTGCCTTTGTGTCCAGCCTCTGCTGCAAAAGCACCCTATTAGGCTAGAATAATATGATTACAAAGCTGACATGTATAGGGCAACAACAATGGAAAAAACATACAGTACATGTTCTTGGAAATGTAAAAATAGTTGAAGGTGTGCCACTCATCATCTAATTGTGTGTCCTGATTTTGAGTGATATGTCAGTATTCTTGCCATTTTACTGGCTTATGGCAATTGTAAACAGTATGACACTAAATGAACAGTGGTATTTGCTGGTGAATTGGAATAATAGCAATGTATAAGTCGCACACACTCACTGTATGTAAAATAGACGTAATGCCACCACCTCCCTCCACTATGCAAAAGTGAAGCCAAAATATCCTGAAATAAATATATATGTAATATATATAAATATCCTGGCTGCCATCTTGCTTTTTTGCAACCAGATTTTGTGCAGTAGCAACCAGAAGTGGAGTGACAGCAATTGGACCACCAATCAAAGCTGTCAAATCAACTGAAATGCTCCCCTTTTTATATAATCAAATAACTTATTAAATAAGCTTTACATCCTATTGTGTTTATGAATTATATCACGTACAAAGTATGTCAAATAGAGTGCGCTGTAGACGACATAGTGATGTGCTGTGAAGTTGATGAAGTTGTTTCCTAAATTCAGGTGTGCTCATCCTTTTTAAGGGATTTTCATTTTCTTTGCACATTTGGGCATTTTTAGGGACTAAGAAAGCCATTCTGATATGTATGGCATATGTTCAGGTGAACTAATGATTCCCAACATGCAGGCCATATGAATAAACTTGTGAGCAGATATTCTGAGATGCAACTAAATATGCCTATCTGTGAATGTGCATGTGTGTGCATTGTTTTTTTTTACTTAACAAACTACTCTCTTTCATCTGTCCTGCATAACATTCTACCTAGTGTTATGAAAGCAGCACTTTGTTACATTCCTTCTTATCTTCCCAGGATCTATCAAAAACAAAAAAAAAAACTGCAAATAATACTTATAGGATTGACTTATACTTGTACTACTGCCATTATAATATTTTAGCAAATGGCCTTCTCCATGAATAATTAAAGGATGTGCCTGAGGCATTTGTTTTGATCTGCCAGGGTCTTTTTAGGTAGCTGCATTGGCAGGCTTTTTGATTGGCAAAAAAATATGAAAAATATCAGCAGGGATCTTGAAGACAGCAAGCATGTTGTGCTAAAAACACAACACAAGGTCAGTGGGGGTTATGTTGATCCCTCATTAAAAACCACCGTGCACTCTCTTTTTTATGCTGCTGTTGGTCAGAAAACTTAACCTCTTGGCAGTAATTGAGTGTCTTCCTGGTCTTGTTGGTTACTGCTGTCACATAGGCTATTACTATGGATTAATATGAAAATATGGGTTTTCTCATTCTCATTCAAATTGCTCTTCTTCTCTTCTTCTCCGTCAGGTAAAGGGAGGTTCTTTCACTTTCGTTTCCCAGCCTTATCTCTCCTTGGTATCAGTAAGCAGTCCCTGCCCCAGGAAGACCCTGACGCTGTCATGGTGGACTCCCCTCACCACAGTGACGGCTCAGTGGCCACACGTGACTACCAACTCCCCACCACCCGCGAGAGCTGCAGTCCCTCCTACGCTAATGACACCCGCGCCCTCATTGGCCCCAGCCACAGCTCCACACCTGTTTCTGGGCCTTTGGACCACTCGTCACCTAAGGGCCCCTGGGACAGGACGCTCCCAGACCAGGCCATTGCCCAGACCCAACACCAGAGTCAGGAGGACACACCTACTGCTGCACCATCAATCCCGGGCCTCACTCCAACTGCCTCCAGAGAGAGAATGTGCAGCATTCGCAGAGCCTCTTCCGTACATGACATGGAAGGCTTTGGGTCCAACTCTAAGGTGGCATTCAGGGACAGACATGCCAGTGAAGGTAGGAATCTTCTGCTTAAAGCTGTAAAGCTTTATTGTAATATCACAAAAATACTACAAATGTGGTTGATGTTGATCTAGTTGTACTTTATCTCATGGCAGGTATCTGTGGCTTTATGTAGCAAAACCACTGTTTTTTAAGGGATGACAGCCATTAAAGAGTCAGATGTGGTCAATACCTGAATTAGACTAATGAAAGAAGTTATTTCTCATGACACATGTTCACTACAGTTTGGCTGTATTAAGTACCAATCGTTCTGTGGTCCCAAAATAGGAGACGCAAGATGTGGCATGCCGGTTTCATAATCAGTATTATAGTGAGTTATCATCTATAGTTTGTGCTATTGATCTTCTTGTGGGTCTAAACCACACATTAGCCTTTTGGCCCTCATTTGGATGAGAGTCCCAGACTGGCCCGGTTTTGTCCAGGCCAATCAGTTGGCCTTCATTTTTTTTTTATCGCCAGTCCTCATTCAAGTAGCTGAGAGTTGCTGACACTATATCTACTTCACTAAAATAAATTTCTCATGGGAATGTAGTGAGAACTTAATGTCAGCACCCATTTGTCATCATACAAAACTAGAAATTCTTCTCTCACCTCCACTCCCCTTTTTCTTCCTTCTCCGACACTGTGCTGCTGCCATCGCAGACAATGGTCGCCATATCAAAGGTAACAAACAATAGCCTGCTGCATCTTGAGTTGTATATTTTACTACTAGATAATACATGTATACTGCACAGAGCCTGCTTGCTGCACGAGTTTTCCACATCACTGAGGTTTATGTGGGATGCAATCACCTTGGTGGATGAGAGACAGCATGTTTGTAAGTTCTTGAACCGGTGCCTCAAAACACTGGCACAGCACTAAATGAGTTGGTCTCAGTGCACATGCCCCGCTGAACCCTAGCCAGTTGCCCAGGGGGAAGGCTCAGCTAAAAAAAAATACCACACACTGACCTGTGCATGTGCTTGCATGAAGTAACACACGACACAATCCTCTCTCCTGCTTTTGTTCATTGAAGAAAATCACTGGGGCTTCATGAGATGATACCTCCCACTATCTGTAACCTCTGTTTTCTTCCATGTGCCCTCTGGTTCCTTGTTGCCAAGTTTTAGTGAATGAAAAGAAACCTGACTGTGTTTCTGCTTGGATTCTATATGCTCATCTTTTTCTCTTATTAAGTGCAGTGGTGCTTATACAGCGTTCATTTCACAGTACATATTGTGACTTCCTCAACACCAGAAATCATCACTGTTTCTTTAGTGTTGTTTATTTACACCTAATGCATTAATGGTATTTGGATCACTCTAACAGTAATATTTTGTAATATTAGTATCAGACATTAACTTTTCAAATCTCTAAAGGTCTGCTCTCCAAACCAAAAATGTGCTCTCTATCCTGATAAATGCCTTAATACAATATTTGAAGTAATGATGTTTGTATCCTTGACTACTGCCCCTGCAGTCCAGCCACCCATCCATAATTCCACTTTCTCCTTTACCACTAATATCTTCTCTTTACTGGTTTGTTAGAGTCTTGCTCCTGGATGGCTGGGGGTATGGCTTCAGCTTTTTTCTATATCCATTCAGTTTTTTATGACTGCAATGATGTATCCTTACTGTGGCATGTAATCTCTCATCTTCAGCTGCCTCTCTGTCCTTGACTCTGAATCACTGTGCTGAAAAGAGGGAATAAATAGTGTGACCTTCCTGTGCTGGCTCACACAATGGAATCAGCAATTCTCTCATTCACTTTTTATCACTCTCATTGGGCCAGGTCTCAGCGTGTGTAGTGCTGTCACATATTGTTGCAGTGTTGGGTGCACTCATAAGAAGCCAGGGAATAAATGTCTGAGAGTCTGATTTTATGATACTGTGAACATTTAGTAGAATAATGAGGGAATGTTTTGCTAATTCGGTAACACCTTCATTATGTGTCCAAACTCCATCAGACAGACAGGTTACTGGACTGTGTGAAGTTTTTTTCTCTGATCGTGCGTAGAATCATTCTTTTCTTTCACAGACAGTGTTGTTCATTATCTTTTAATGAGAAACTTTGAAAGGCCTGTTCATCCTAGACTGGTCAATGAGAGGGTGTGGAGTTTGTATTTCAGTATCTTGTTGTATTCTCTGTGTTGTGTTGTGATTGAGCTCACTCCAAAAGTAAGGGCCACTCCATATTCACTACACATGTCACAACAATCAGCTGAATACTTTACTGGTCTCTGATGTCCTCAATTCACAGAACCTATTAGATCAACAATAGCCTAGCCATAGTACAAGCTGTGGCAACTTTACTGTTGACATCCTCCCTCTCACTTTACCCTTTCAGGGCCACTCAGCCAGATCAAATCCAGTCTGCTCGGCTCCACCTCCGACTCCAACCTCAACAAGTACAGCACAATCAACAAAATCCCCCTCATCACGCTCAACTTCTCTGAGGCCACCAACGAAAAGAAGTGCCCCTCGCCTCCGTCCTCAGAGAAAACCATCATCGCCCCGAAAGTCAAGGACCGCACACACAACGTCACAGACAAGGTTACACAGGTGAGACGCTAACCAAGCATGAAAACATAAAACAATCTTCTTCACCAAAATCGGTTGAAAAGTTAAGGATAATCACCTTTATTGGCCAAGTATGTTACACACACAAGGAATTTGTTTCTGGTACAGAACTGAGGCAGCCATCTGCGGCACCAACTCAATCAATGGCTCTAGCCATCGGGGGCAACAGGGGGGGTTCAGTGTTTTGCCCAAGGACACCTCAACATGTGGACTGCAGGCACCGAGATTCGAACCTTCAACCTTTCAGTTGGAAGATGACTGCTCTACCCACCACACCACTGTCACCTCCCCTAGTTTCTGATTTAGTGAAAAATCCTTGGAGCCTTTTGTTCATATGGAAACTGCTCTACTGCCATCCCCTTACCAACTGCTAATTTACGACATATACAGTATTTTAAAGCCATGTGTAGGATAAAATGTACTGTTTTTTGCTAAATAAATATTAACATTAAGTACTTTAACCCTTTAGCCCTCATTTACTAATGGGAAAAATATCTGCCCTCAGAAACAATCTTAAAACAGTATGCTTTAAAAATGAATATTGTTTTTGAATGTACAAAACACGTAGGCTTTCATTTCAACTGCACCTTTAAAAGTCAGCCCACCAATGAACAGTACTAACCATCTGCTATTAAGTTCTTTGTCATGGGTTAATATGGGTTCTTTGCTGTTGTCAGAGACTAAAAATAGAAAACACTTAAGCGTAATAATAGTAAACTTAGTTCTGGACACGTATAGTTTGCATTTATAAACTGTTTATTGCACCAATCATTTGTTGACCATCTGATGTTTGGCAAACTGGAGTGGAAAGATTCAACATTAATATTCATCACATCATTGATGAATGACTACCGTCATCACAAATCACACTTGAACAGCTTGAGCAGCCGTTGCAGTCACCAGATTCCGTTGTCACCCCTGCCCTTCCTCCCCCCTCCCCCCTCAGGGTGGTTAACTGAAAGTCATAGGTTCTGATACGTCAAACAGCAGCGGTGTCTGTCACTTGTAGTAGATAATCAGGGATACTCTTACTCCTGCCAGACAGCATTCAGAGCTCAGGCCATATTTCTAGAGTTACGGACTGGGTAAGAGATCATCCTCACATTCCCTGTGAGGGCTAAGATGCAGCACAGTGTACACAGGGACTGTAGGTTAATGTATTCCTAGGAGTGGGTCAGAGCTGCCCTAAACCACTAATTAAGTCTCAGTTTTGCATTTCACCCATTAATGGTGAAACGAATAGAAGACACAGAAACTGACCCCTGTTTGCACTAAAAGGCAGCTTCAATGGCAGGCTTTAGACTCGAGCCAGAGGCAGAGACAGACTACAGTGCATCACACCAACCTCTCTGCCCAGCATTAAAGTTATTTAGCTGCAGAGAGAGCAGGCCTATTATTGTGGTGTTAATAAACTTCTGTACCATGTTGCACAGTAGTTTAGTTTTGTTTCTCCCATGTTCCTTGTCACTACCTCCTTCTTTTACTGAACACATGGCATTGAGCACAGAGTGCCATCTCTGTTTTTGGCTAACTACATGCTGTTAAAATGATCATAGTAACAAATGGGCATGGGGGTGTGCCATATCTTTCTAAACCTTACCTCTGTAAACAGTTCTCTAGACACCTGACTGCAAGGAACACAAAGCAACAGCAGATGTCTTGAAATCAGCTCAATCCTCCTGAGCTGATTTGAAGCCATGATCAGGGTGTGTGAGCAGACACTCTCTCATGGCCTTGGCTCCCTCCTAGCTCCCACAGGCAGGTGGAGGGTTCATCCAGGAAGCTGATCAGCACACTCACATGGTGCTTTAGACATCTCTTACATGAGACTCCAATTCCCAGCACCTCCCTTTAATATCTCGATGCAAACGTCTTTGGGTTATTTCAGTCTGAATGTGGAATTAAACCAGTGGTATGTGCAGCATTTTTAATGATGGAAGCCACGTGATTACCTTCAGGAACATGAAACAGCACTTTGTTCTCATAAATAATGCCCAGGCTTTGACGGTGCAGCCCAAAGAACCAGAGAAGGGGAGAAATCTGTTTGAAGCCTTGCATTACCCCACAAATGTTCATTTGCACCAAGTGCACATAGCTACAGAAGGTAGGTGTAATAATTAAAATGGGATATTTTATTTAGAAATGCTAAAACACATTCATCAAGCTTGTTCAGCCTCCCAGCCAGGTGTCCTCACAGGCTGTGAGGGGTACTGTGTTCACACTGAGCTGAGCTGCCATCTTGTTTTTATCGTCACTGTTCACCACACTTAATAACACAACAGTTTTTGTACAACATGTTGAAATACATAGTTGCTAGATGTATTTTTTAAATTCAATTTTCAAACAGAAATCAATATATGAAGACAAAAATTGAAGCAACAGCAGTCACATGCTGACTTGTAACTGTAATGAAACTGGCATTTGAAACATTTGCTTTTAATGAAGTGGCAGCTTGATGAATAATAGAACACATTCCCTTTGTCTGTCCTTTCGTTTCTGATCGATTTCAAAGGTTATCCCATATCAGAGGTTAAAAGCATTTGGCCCTCTCCATCACACAAAGGGCAGGAGTTTCTAATAACCAATTTAATTATTAACACTTAAGCTCTTTTCTCACGCCATATATCATCCTTCTGTTCCCTAGTCCTCTGCTCTTAATAACAGGAGTTATGAAGGTGACCAGGCCACAGATAAGGGGACACACAATAAGTGATGGATGCCAAAATAGTCATTTAAGATTCTTCTTTCTGTTCCATTCTTATGCTGAGTAGCAATCATTGTCGCTCTGCCCTTGCAGCTCATGTATTCTACCTGCCTCGCTTTCTTTGCGTTCCCCTCTTAGAGCTACAATAATCAGCAGTGAAAGAGCCTGAAAAATTTTTGCTCTTGAAGTGTCAGGCACTTTGATGAATAGATGCATCCTCTGCCTGCACCTATAATTATCTTAAAGTCATTGAGACTCTTATCTGAAATGGTCTATGACGCTGCTATATTATTGATTTGCATATATATATAACTGCACAACAGAGATAATTTTAGTGACATCCTGGCTTGCTAGAATGGATTTCAGCTTCAAAACTGCCTGTTTTTTTTTCTTTTTCTAGAGACAATTAATGGTTTTCTTTTTTATTTTATTTTTAACCTGGAACAGTTTTATCATTTTTTCAGATGCTATATTAAGTTATGTAGAACTTCCTGGATCTTTTTATCTCACATGTGAGCATGATAAAAGATTTTTATTCCTACAACTGTCATGATCCTGCCCCGTCCCCTTCCGGTATCCTGCTTTTACTCTGATACCACTTCCTGTCACCAGCTCATCCTAAACCCTGGTAACTTCATCTCGTTATACACATTGTTTTCACCTGCCACTAATCACCCACACCTGTTCACCACAGCATATAGCAGCTCTTCACAGTGTGAGGAGCTGCCAGATTGTTCTATGCCTTGTCTAGACTCTCCAGCATTATTCCCTTGTGACTGCTTTTCTGGTACCGAACCCCCCTTGCCTGCTCTAACGACCTGTGATCCAGCCTGCTCCCTCTTGCCCGACTGCCATCCTGAGATCAGCATCCTGCCTGTTCTACTAACCTGTGATTCTGCCTTGCCTTCCCTGCTGCCCTGCCGGAGACTTCGACCTTGGACCGTGTTAAGTACCACTCTTTTGCCTGATCCCTCAAGACTGTGTGTACTTCTGTTTTGATCATGGAAAGACATCAAAACCTGTTCTACTGCCTCAGCTGACTGGCTCTTTAATTGGGTTCACTGCCTCCCACAAAGACAAAATCATCCTGAAATTTACAACAGCACAGTCGCAGTGTGAAAGCATCACTGGCGAGGATGAAGCAGCCTACAGGAGGGAGGTGGCCGGTTTGGTGTCATAGTGCAAGGACAATAATCTCAGCCTCAACACGGACAAGATGAAGGAGATGATAGTGGGCATGAGGAAGGAGAGGAGATCTCATCAGCCACTGTTCAGCCGAGGGCTCAAAGTGGAGAGGGTGAGCAGCTTCAAATACCTGGGCGTCCACATAAGTGAGGACCTCACTTGGACACTTTATGTCCGTGACCCGGGCCGCCCCCTGTACCTCAGTAGCAGGCACAGGTAGTTCCAGCAGCTCCGCCCCCGCACAGGTGAGGGTGCATTCTAGGCGACGAGGCACACCTGCTCTCCATTATCGGAGCAGTATATAGGGTCAGCGTTGGTGCGTCCTCGTCGCCAGATTATTATATGTTGTCCTGCTGGTAACAACGTTTCATGTTCATGTCAAGGCCTCAGGTTTATGGACTACTGTTTGATCTGCGCTCCTCTCTGAACGCTGTGAACTGTAATTGTGCATAGTTCTGTTGCATCGGTTTTTGTGCCCTTCTCATGTTTTAAAGGGGGTTCTTTGGTTTTGGACTGTTTTTTTGTGTGAATTGCTCCTCCTCACAGAGCTCCAAAGCGATCCTGGGACAGCACCACCAACCTACGTCACACCGCTCAGCTACCAGCGCTGCCTCATCAGGGGACCCACACACCGAACCCGAGATCTCTGGCACCAGTCCCTCCCTGGACTACTCCCTGGGCCTGCGGCGCACTCAGCTGTTCAGGTCCCCAGAGTGACTACCAGAAACAATCTATACCATACCTGCTGCGTGTTCTTAAACTCTCTCTCTCTGTTCTTATTTAGCGAGCTACGCCTCTAATACACCCCGGGAAACAGTAGTCCAGTCAACTCGGTGTGCCCAGCTGCCCCGAGATCAGCGGACGAGACCAGCTCTGTTTTGTTTGGTTTTTTGCAGAGCATTAAAGACGTTTTTCTTGTCTAGCCTGGGTTTGAATCTGCATTGTTACTGGGTCCAAAACCACTCAACACACGGCTCGCCATAACACACTTAACACCACACAGGTGGTCAAGAAGGCCCAACGGTGGCTGTACCTCCTGAGCAGGCTGAGGAGGTTTGGCATGTCGCCTAGGATCCTTTGCAACTTCTACAGCTGCATTATTGAGAGCATCTTGACCAGCTGCATCACTGTCTGGTATGGCAGCACTACTGCTATGGATCGCAAGCGCCTGCAGAAAGTGGTAAAGACTGTGGAGAAGATCACCAGGACTCCAGTGCCCTCTCTGCAGAGCATTTATCAGCGCAGAGTGTGTAGGAAAGCTGCCTCCATCCTCAAAGATCCCACCCACCCCCAGCACAGACTGTTCGCCTCCCTACCCTCTGGCCGGAGGTTCAGAAGTGTGAAGTGTAGGACATCCAGACTGAAAAACTTTCTTTCCCTCTGCCGTCAAACTCCTAAACAGCTGAGGAGTTTATTACCAGGAAATACGTCATGTACTGATGATCTCTACTGTTTACGTTCAGATTGCACATTGACTGTTGACTGCTGCTCTCATGCAGCATACATTCTCTTATTATACTGCTGCTTAAAGTGCATTAGATTTTGTTACTTATTTATCTACTTTATATTTCATTTGTATTTTGTGGCATTCATGTGGACGGCAAAGTAAGAATTTCATTGTACAGGGAAACAAGTTTCCTAACTGTGAATATGACAAACACCTTGACCTTCTGTGTTTTTTGGTACCCCTTAAAGCACCAGTGATATGAATCCTCCCCTTTGATAAAATATTAAGTAAGGTGATGGGTTCTCTGCCTTCCTCCTCAGGTCCTTTCTCTGGGTGCAGACGTACTACCTGAGTACAAGCTCCAGACACCACGTATTGACAAGTGGACCATCCTTCACTACAGCCCCTTCAAAGCAGTGTGGGACTGGCTGATCCTGCTGTTGGTCATCTACACAGCCATTTTCACCCCCTACTCTGCTGCCTTCCTCCTCAATGACAACGAGGAGCAGAAGAGGCGGGAGTGCGGCTACTCCTGCTCACCGTTAAATGTCGTGGACCTGATAGTGGACATCATGTTTATTGTGGACATCGTAATAAACTTCAGAACCACTTATGTCAACACCAATGAAGAAGTGGTCAGCCACCCTGCCAAGATTGCCATCCACTACTTTAAAGGCTGGTTTCTCATAGACATGGTGGCTGCCATCCCATTTGACCTGCTCATCTTTGGCTCAGGATCTGATGAGGTGAGAGGGGGGGGGGATCAAGTACATAGTTTAGCATCCAGTAAGTGGGGATAAATACACAGTTATTCTGAGGGTGGCTGTAAGACTCTCAGTCACTCAACAAGTCAATCAGCTCGGCCATCAAGACAATGATGGCCGGGCTGATTGTGTTTGTCTCCATAATTGACCAAAGAATATGTTGAACATTACTATGCAGTGGCAGAGAACCGTATGTGTAGGTTTTGGCAAGTTCACAAACAGAAAACCTTGCCATTTGCTAATATAAAAATTATTACAGGCAGTAATTTTAAAAAGTGAAGATTTGAAATTTCTGATGCCACTGTACGCACATGTGAGGAAGATGCTTGAGCAAGGGACAGCAGTTTACACATTCCAATCACACATGAGTAACGACAAATCTCAGCATGAGTGTACAGTGGAATACTTTGTGTTTAGCACCTATGGTCAAATATATGTTTAATTCTTAAGTAGCAAGTTTGATTTTAAACTAAGACAAAGCTAAAACATGTAGAGGCAAAGCACACAATCTACTAAAATGTGTAAAAGTGCCACAGCCCAGGATGTGCAATGTAACACCCATCCTCACCTTCATATTTTCTCACACAGAAAATATTCCAGATTGATGTGTGTGTGTGTGTTAAGGGTGATGCCCTGATGTCAGTCTATTGGTTTGCTGTGTTGTTATTAACATTCATTGTGTGTTCCAGTGAGGGAGGTAGGCAAAGGTATGGCTAGAGGTAGGCAGTGAGTGGCAGGTGGAGAAAAAGAGCAGACAGCTGAGCAATACCACAGCACAGTGTATGTCCTCATTGTACAGCTAGAAGACTGGTACGTTGTCAGACTGTGTATTCTCATTACAGTTTGTGTCCAAAGTGCACAGTGTCAAGATGAGTAGAAAGACAAAATATATTTTTATCTCATCCAATCACCAGCAGTAACTGAAAATGACATCCATGTATAGTTTTAGCTCTGGTCTTCAAAGTGCACAGACAGGCTATTTTTAGACATAATCTTGTGCACCTATGTTGCCTGGAAACAATCTACAACAACAAATTATTATTATTTTGCTGATTTCATTAGAAACATAGCAGGTTAATATCCCCTTTTAGAGTGTTTTTTTTTTTTTTTTTTTTTTTTTTTATTCTCACTCAGGGTACTGTAGGTTTTAGCACTGCAGGCTGTCAAGTGAATTGTGTTGCTGAATTTACCTATTGAAGCTACTCAGTCATTTTTATGTCAGTGTCCTGTTGTGATAAAATTAGATTATTTGCCTGTCATGTACACATTTACATATACCAGGTGTGGGCAATTAATTTTTACAAGGGGCCACATGAGAAACCTGAACTGTGTTGGAGGGCCGAACCAACAATAACTTGAACTTAATTCTGCTCAATATTCATTATCTCCTATTGTAAAAAGCAGTAAATTATATGTGTTGATTAGCTGCTACTGGTAATCAGAAGAATAAGTTCTGTAATATTCTGTAAATACTTATATAAATATATGAAAATTGTGGTGTAGGTCAAACAGGAAAATACTCCTATAGAAGTAATAAACAGTAAAAACAAACATTACATCACAGTTCCATTTTATTTTCAACTTCCCATAACACTGAAAAGGTGTTTTGCAGTATCGTAAAGATATGCAGTTAATTTTACTTATTCAGTGAGAGAAATCCAGTCTGGCTTGGGCTTGAACAAGTGCATTGAAATCTGGATTTGTTGAACTTAATCACTGAGAATGTCTGTTCACATATGTAGGTAGATCCAAAAATTTCCTGCGATGTCCTTAACCCTCCTTGTTGTAGTGCATCGGGAGAGGGGCACGTTCTCATATGCGCCCTTTATCTCCAGGCATATTAGTGCTGCAGTGTCCAACAAACACCGTTAAATAAACTGTCAGAAAACGGTTTATTTTTATGGGATATGACATAACTTGTCTTGAAAGCTGCATCTCTGGGTGTGGAAAGTTTTGTAAAAAGTCTTTCTTGGTTATGCAGTTTCACTAGCAAAGCATCTGACTCCCTTGCGCGCTCTTCTTGTTCTTGTATTTCTCCTCATGTTTGGTCACGTAGTGGCGATTCAAATTGTAATCCTTGAACACAGCAACCTGTGTACCACAAACTAAGCACACTGCTTTACCTTTGACTTCTGTAAATAAATACTTTCCAGTCTATGTCTTGTTGAAAATGTGGCATTCGGCATCAACTTTTCTTTTTTTCGCGTGAGTTGACATTTTCAGGGTTAGCAGGCCAACATCACCTGTCTCTCACCAAGTAGGTCGGGGATCTTAAGTTCACCTGTGAACTTTTTTTCATTGATGTTCTGATTTGATGGACCTCACGCAAGCCGGACAGGGACGCCCAAAGGGCCAGATGTGGCCCGTAGGCCGTAAAATGCCCAGGTCTGACATATACTGTACTATGTGTTCAAATTTGATATAGTGGCAAATTACAAAAGTTCAGGGTGAACATTTGCTGTAAACAATAATTCAAATGTTATTTTCTCTTAATCATGGGCAGAATAGAGCAGATTTTTGACAATAAACAAGTGCAACAAACAAACACTTCTCAACTAAAATGAGTACATTTTTTGTTTCAGTACCCTTAAACACTTAGAGGAGAATATGACCGTGTCAGACTTTTGTTTGTTGTCACCAGTGCTTTCCCTAGGTTCTCAGATGGCTTAGGTACTTTTCTTTTTTTGCAAAGGAAACATATTATTTATGCAGTGGTGGAAAAAGTACCCAGATTGTTTACTTATAATAGTAATAATAAAACAGTGTAAAAACACTTTGTTTCAAGTAAAGGTCCTGCACTCAAAATGTTACTTAACCTTTGTGTGGCGTTCACTTTTGGACCAGAGGTGTGTGCTCTTCCCTGGGTAAAGTGTAGCAGAGGCTGGGGGTGTGTCAGTGTGAGGGCCCAGAGATGATCAGAGGTGTCAGTGTGAGGGCCCAGAGATGATCAGAGGTGTCAGTGTGAGGGCCCAGAGATGATCAGAGGTGTCAGTGTGAGGGCCCAGAGATGATCAGAGCCTGGCCAGAGGTGTGTGGTTGACCAGGGGAGCTAGCCAGCACCTTGTGGCTGATTTTGGAGCAGTATTAGTGGGGGTACTAGGCAGCATATTTTGCCCGCCTATGGATCACTATTTCTGTGGTGATAACGAAGCATAGAGTCCCTGGGGCTTGGGTTGGGTGACCAGGGGAGCTAGCCAGCACCTTGTGGCTGATTTTGAAGCAGTATTTGTGGGGTACTAGGCAGCACATTTTGCCTGCCTATGGAGTGCTATTTCTGGGGTGGGTGACAGCAAAACACAGGATCCCTGGAGGTGTACAGACTTAGAAAATTTTCTGACCCGTGGCCCTGGTACTCCATGCTGGAACTTTGAAAAATATTCTCACTCCTGTGGTCCTGGTACTACGTATTAGAACTTTGAAAATATTCTGACTCCCGTAGTCCTGGTACTATGTATTAGAACTTTGAAAATATTCTGACTCCTGTGGTCCTGGTAGTCTGTGTTGGAACTTTGAAAACTGAAAAAGCCAGAAATTTTTCTAAGTTGTTTTACCAAGCAAGGTGCGCGGCAGCTGAAATTCTGGGTTAATGGGCTCCTCCCCTTCCTCGGCAAATGAGGTTTCCCCCATTTCTTGTAGCAACACTCTGCACGATTTCTGAAACCCAGTTTTTGGAAATGTAGTCCTCCAGAATTGAGACCCCTACTCACCCTAGACCCATTGCCCGCCCAGACGGGGTCTCCAATCGGCCTTTGTTATCCGGATTTCTGCCTCCCAATGGAGATTTTTCACAGTTTGAAGTTTTTTTTTCCTCCCTTGCACACGGCAGCGTGTGTCTGACCAACTGGCACCCGTGATCCGCCTCTGGCCAAGCGCCGGCATTTGGGCGGATGGCTTCTCTGGCCTGTGGATTTACCTCCATGGCCAGGATTGAGATTTCTCAATCAGCTAGCCCTGAGCTTCGCCAAAGGAGCTCAGCAGGTGCAAAAGCCTTGTGGGCGAGCTCCCCCCTGCCCAGGGGCACTCATGCAAACCCCAGCGGCCGGGCCGGGCGAGTGACTGCACTGGCCGGGTGCCCGATGGGGCTACCTGTTTATTCCTGCCAGTAGCATATGCTTGTCTAAAAGATTAAGCCATGCAAGTCTAAGTGCGCATGGCCAGTACAGTGAAACTGCGAATGGTTCATTAAATCAGTTATGGTTCCTTTGATCGCTCTCACATTACTTGGATAACTGTGGCAATCCTAGAGCTAATACATGCCAATGAGCGCTGACCTCCGGGGAAGCGTGTATTTATCAGACCCAAAAGCCATGCATGCTTTGGTGACTCTAGATAACCTCGAGCCAATCACTGGCCCCCGTGGGCATTGCAGTATTTCCTATGAACAAGGAATTCCCAGTAAGCGTGGGTCATAAGCTCACATTGATTAAGTCCCTGCCCTTTGTACACACCACCCGTTGTTGCTACCAATTTGGATGGTTTAGTGAGGTCCTCGGATTGGCCCTCGGAGCGCGGAGAAGATGATCAAACTTGACTATCGAGAGGAAGTAAAAGTCGTAACAAGGATACCATAGGTGAACCTGCGGAAGGATAAATGGCCGGCCCACCCTCAGGCACCTACACTGGGGTGCGCAGCACCTCCGGTTGTTGTCTCTGGACACGCACGCCTAGGGGCCACTCCTGTCGCCCCGGTTGCACCCAGAAAGGGTTGGGCTGCAGCGTCACTGGGCGAAAAGGCATTGCCTATGCCACCGCCCGCTAGGCCGGGCCTTGGTCTTGCACTGCCCTCTGGCCCTGACACTGCCCCCCCTCCTCCCGCCGGCTTATGGGCCGCGGTTCAACCTGAAGCGGGCCGTGCCATTCGTCGGCGTGGTTCTCCACCACTACTCTGGGCCTCGTCCTGATCAGACCCCACGCTGGCCTTCCCCTCTGACACCAGCGGCATACTCCCGCATCCTGCCCAGAGGGCCGGCGGGCTCGATGAT